CTGCTCAGCCCCTGGAAGCTAAGGACTTGTATCTGAAGGCGCTGGTAAGACACTGGGCTGGGGACTCAGCCAGGGACCTTGGGAAGATGTAGGCTGGGGACCTTGGGATACACTGGCGTGCAGAAAACAGGGGCAAGAATTGGGAAGGCAGGAAGCATGATAGAGGCACTTGGGGACAAACTTAAGGACAGGAGGTAATTAGCCATTGCCAGAGTCAGGACAGATGGAGGAGACGGAAGGGCCACCTCCAGGAATAAGGTGTGCGGCATCCCAGCACAACTAGGTGGGGCCATCCTTAGCACAAGAATCAAAAATGAGCCTTAGGCTGTGTTTTTATAAACACCTACTGGTTTCCATCACAGTCCCCAAGTAACCCAGGCTGGTCTCAAACTCACGATCCTCATGCCTCCTCGTCCTGAGTTCTGGGGTTATGTGAGGGGTACCACCTCGCTGGGCTGGAGGATGATTAAAAGCACGTTAAATTAGCACCCAAATGGAAAGCAAGGCTTAGCCGGGAAGGCAGAAAGAGGAATGCAAATTGGACTACCCGCTGCGGCTTGGTCAAGTGGAATTTGAACCCGGGAGAGGGAGCTGGAATTTTTGGCAGAGGTTCCACCCCAGGGATGCTGATAGCCAACACAGGAGGGGGAGTAACTAGACCTTTGGGAAGTGCGGGTACTCTCCTGGGGAAATGCTTGTGTTTGGTTCCTGGTCTCAGATCTGAGACAGGGAGGTAGGGTGGGGCTCTCTGGGTGGGCGGAGTACCCCTTATCTGTTCAAAGGCATTTTCTCCCTCCCCCAGACTGGCCACTCAGAATCGGGAAGATGAAGGCTCTGTGGGCCGTGCTGGTGGTCACATTGCTGGCAGGTATCGGGACAAGGGCTTGCTCTGGTGGCTCTTCCTGGGCTCCTTCCTCTCTGGACCCCTTCCTAGCCCCAGGTCTCTTCTGCTGCCCATTGGTGGGGCAGAGGCAGTTCTGAGGCCCCTCTGAGACTCAGAAGCCCGGAGCAGCTGTTTTATTTACTCTTTAGGCCTTGATTTGCCCTATCTATAAAGTGAGAAGACTGGCTCAGGGGGGTAAAGGTGCTGGCCACCAAGCCCGAAGACCTGGCATCTCCAGGACCAATATGGTGGAAGGAAGCAGAAAACCGATTCCATCTAGTTGTCTTTTGACCTCCAAGGGCACACACTCAACTTAAACGTTAACATACAGATGTGTGTGTGTGTGTGTGTGTGTGTGTGTGTGTGTGTGTGTGTGTGTAATCTGTTTTAAAAGGAAGGTATATTTTTCTAATTCCATGCCTGCCTGGTCTCTGCTCTGTATTATATGGGATACCAAGGCAGTACATGCTGGTAGTAATGGAACAGACTCCACCCTCCACCCCCACCCCGGACCCACTGTCTTTCCAAAGAGACCCAAGAGCATTGTAGGTCCTGACCCAGCCTTGAACTTACTCTGCACAGGATGCCTGGCCGAGGCAGAGCTCGAGCCCGAGGTGACCGAGCAGCTGGCATGGCAGAGCAGCCAACCCTGGGAGCAGGCCATGAACCGCTTCTGGGACTATCTGCGCTGGGTGCAGACACTGTCTGAGCAGGTCCAGAAGAAGCTGCAGACGTCACAAGTCACCCAGGAACTGACGTGAGTGGCCAGCCCCTATCCCTTTCACCCTCTGCACCCACTGAATATCCAGGCGCCCCCCCCCCACGGTGGGGGGGGTGGTCTCCGACTCTCGGGGCACCTACCCCCAGGCTGGCCTTGAACTCTCAGCCTGGCATCAACGGCTGGCTCTTGCAATCCTGCTTCAGCTTCTCAACTTCTGGGAATACAAGCTAGAGGCCGCCGCCAGCCACGCCTCTGTCTTGAGTTTCTTGCCCACCTCTCCCCTGTCTTCTGGGTCCTCCAATCTTGGTCCTCATCTCCCTCTGGGCCTTGCAGGGTCCTGATGGAGGACACCATGACGGAAGTCAAGGCTTACAAAAAGGAGCTGGAGGAGCAGCTGGGCCCCATGGCGGAGGAGACACGGGCCAGGCTGTCCAAAGAGGTGCAGGCCGCCCAGGCCCGGCTCGGGGCGGACATGGAGGACCTACGGACCCGACTGGGGCAGTACCGCAGCGAGGTGCAGACCATGCTGGGCCAGAGCACCGAGGAGCTGCGGGCGCGCTTCGCCACGCACCTGCGCAAGCTGCGCAAGCGCCTGCTGCGGGACGCCGAGGACCTGCAGAGGCGCCTAGCCGTCTACAAGGCCGGCGCACGCGAAGGAGACGAGCGTGGCGTGGGCGCCATCCGTGAGCGCCTGGGCCCGCTGGTGGAGCAGGGGCGCCAGCGCACCGCCAGCCTAGGCGCCGGAGCTGCCCAGCCTCTGCGCGATCGCGCCCAGGCTTTGGGTGACCGCATCCGAGGGCGGCTGGAGGAGGTGAGCAACCAGGCCCGAGACCGCTTGGAAGAGGTACGCGAGCAGATGGAGGAGCTGCGCGCCAAGGTAGAGGAGCAGGCCCAGCAGATGCGCATGCAGGCCGAGATCTTCCAGGCTCGCCTCAAGGGCTGGTTCGAGCCCCTGGTGGAAGACATGCAGCGCCAGTGGGCGAACCTGGTGGAGAAGATACAGGCCTCCGTGGCTACCAGCCCCATCCCTACCTCCGTGCCAAAGGAGAGTCAATGAGTATCCCTCTCCCAGCCGCCGCGGCGACACCCATGGCCAGCAGGTGGCCCTGTCCCCAGTCCCCCCCGGGGCCCCTCTGGTGTGGCCCTTGCTTAATAAAAGATTCTCCAAGCACCTGTTGGGTCCCTGTGAGTGATTCCACACAGCTTCAGTCCCTGTTTATCTTTCCTGCATCACGTTAGTCACACAAACGAACGCACGCTGCCGCTGCCCCGCAGGGTAGGGCTAAGCTACGTGTTTCTGTCTCAGCCCTAGTTTGGTTTGTTAGGTTCTGCAGCAATAAAGATTAATCCTAGGACCTAGCTGAAAGGTTCAGGCATGATGCTGGCCTGCCCCTGTTACCTGGTGGAACCTGCGGGGCCTCATAATAAACTTATAGTCAATATGTCTCATGTCTCAGCATTTCTCCTTTTCTTCTTTTTAAACAAAATAACACTAGCAATTTAAAGGGCAGGGGCTCCACCACTGAGCCACGCCCCCAGCCCCTCACTGGAGGATTCTAGGCAGGGG